CAGTCAGCATATCCCCAGCTACTGTTTTTATTAAACTAAGCCTTCATACATGTACACCGTCATAATCCAGTATACTACCAAGACATAATTCGCTGTTCCTGAAGGAGAGGGAGAGGGAGAGAGGGAGAGGGAGAGGGAGAGGGAGAGAGGGAGAGGGAGAGAGAGAGGGAGAGGGAGAGGAGAGAGAGAGAGAGAGAGAGAGAGAGAGAAGAGAGAGAGAGAGAGAGAGAGAGAGAGAGAGAGAGAGAGAGAGAGAGAGAGAGAGAGAGAGAGAGAGAGAGAGAGAGCAAACACACACGAAAGGAAGGAGGTAAGGTAACGGGAAGCCTAGAATTGGATGAAGCCAACTTTCAGGTTTATTAAGAGAATTTCGGGTCGACCGAGCTATCTTAAGATGAAAATGTTGGAGTACAGGTGAACTGACAGAGGAGAGAGTAGGAAGGACGGGAAAATTGACATATTAAGACAAATGGGCATGCAGGCATGAAATCCGTCAGGGAGAATATAAAGAAACACAGTCACTGGTAGTAGAAAAGGAGGAACTTGTTCTTCGAGCCAAGAGGTAACATTAGAGAAGAATGGGACAGTATTCTTTCAGCTAATGGAGATATGAACAGGCAGGGTCTTTATGACAGAGATATGAACAGGCAGGGTCTTTATGACAGAGATATGAACAGGCAGGGTCTTTATAATGGGGTAATGAGGCGGTAACGAAAAACGTGGTAAAAATTAGTCCTTTATCACGAAGGACAACGTGTAAGCTGCCGTGACTTAGTACGTAATCTCTGATAGTTTCACTGTACACATACGCACACACACACACACACACACACACACAGAAAGAGAGAGTGTTTTGCCTTGTGGTAATGGCTTTATGTAGAGCGGCCTTAAGACCTGACCACATGGTAATTCCCTCTTGATGTCCTTATTTACATAATGGCCAGTTGGGGAGTGGGGGGGGAGGAGGGAGGGAGGGAGGGAGGGAGGGAGGAGGGAGGGAGGAGGGAGGGAGGGAGGGAGGGAGGAGGGAGGGAGGGAGGGAGGGAGGGAGGGAGGGAGGGAGGGAGGGAGGGAGGGAGGGAGGGAGGGAGGGAGGGAGGGAGGGAGGGAGGGAGGGAGGGAGGGAGGGAGGGAGGGAGGGAGGGAGGGGGAGGGAGGGAGGGAGGGAGGGAGGGAGGGAGGGAGGGAGGGAGGGAGGGAGGGAGGGAGGGAGGGAGGGAGGGAGGGAGGGAGGGAGGGGAGGAGGGAGGGAGGGAGGGAGGGAGGGAGGGAGGGAGGGAGGGGAGGGAGGGAGGGAGGGAGGGAGGGAGGGAGGGAGGGAGGGAGGGAGGAGGGAGGGAGGGAGGGAGGGAGGGAGGGAGGGAGGGAGGGAGGGAGGGAGGGAGGGAGGGAGGGAGGGAGGGAGGGAGGGAGGAGGGAGGGAGGGAGGGAGGGAGGGGGGGCGAGCGAGAGCGAGAGAGCGAGGAGAGCGAGAGAGAGAGAGAGAGAGAGAGAGAGAGAGAGAGAGAGAGAGAGAGGAGAGAGAGAGAGAGAGAGAGGAGAGAGACGGAGAGAGAGAGAGAGAGAGAGAGAGACAGACAGACAGAGACAGACAGAGAGCATATATGGAAGGGGAAAAGGTAATGATAGAGATTATGTATTATAAAACAAAAAGGGGAGGAAGAAGAGGCAAGTAAGATGTTGAAATATGATGAATAGTGAAGGAGAGATGCCCAGAAGAGAAACGAAAGATGTAATAATATTATATATCATACTTACATAATATTATCTTCAAATGTGCTGGAGTTAAAGTGGATCATTTCCTTATAATAAAAACCAGCCACACTGTCAGCCAGCCAGATAGTCAGCCAGCTAGCCAGTCAGCCAGCCAGCCAGATTGTCAGCCAGCTAGCCAGTCAGCCAGCCAGCCAGATAGTCAGCAATCTTCCCTCGCAGTCAGTCAGTTATGACAAAGTTCATTCCAGAAATCTGTCTTAAAAGAATTCTTAAAAGATACTAAATTTAGGTGTGCATCCTGCCATAGTGTTGTACTCTCATCTGGTCGATGTCACCACCGCAGACACAATAATACTTCTTGCTTTAATTCAAGTCTGTTTTGGTGTCTTTGTACACTGAATTGCTGACAGATGTTTCGAAAAAAAGTCCTCTTTACATGTCATATTTTACAGTCTTCTTTCTCTCTCTTTTCTCTTTCCTTGTTTCCTCCGTCGTATCCTTGTGCATCCTTTGCTCCTTCCCACATCCCCCCTTCCCACCCTTCCTTCCCTCACATTACACATGCCTCGCTGTAAGTTAGGACCAGCCTCGCTCCCTCTCTTAGCTACCAATCTATTTACGACGCATGGACTGATCCAGTGCTCCGAGATTTGTCCTCGCCAGGAGCACCATTTGCAGAAATTTACGTTGATTTGCTGCACTTGAAACAACGCTTTTAAGTTTTGCAAGAAACAAGTGTTCAACGTTTTCATGTCCACGTTATAATACATGGGATAAACATATAGCAGAGGGCCTGGAAGTCCACACACAAGCTATTAGTTGAGAACTATCTACTGCTATCTATATTAAAGACTATCGAATATTATCTAAGTGTGAGTCAAGGATAGAACAGCTATACTAAACGCTCACGCAACAGTATATAAACCATAGCGAAAATATATATGTAACTGGAGTTTCCTTTGTTCGAAGAGGCCATAAGACGACAGGGATTGAATTTTCAGCTCAACGTTTGTGAAATCATCTTATCAAGAGGAATTAGAGCTATCCCTTCATATATGTTATATGCATGTATATATATATATATTATATATATATATATATATATATATATATATATATATATATATATATATATATATATATATATATATGCAATAAGATCACAGTAAACAGGTGATTTCAGAATATGCAAAACAACCACTCTGAAAGAATAGAGAAATTCCAAGCGCTTTCGTGACTACTCACATTATCCTTGATAATGTGAGTAGTCACGAAAGCGCTTGGAATTTCTCTATTCTTTCAGAGTGGTTGTTTTGCATATATATATATTATATATATATATATATATATATATATATATATATATATATATATATATATATATATATCGTGCCGAATATGTAAAACTGGTCAATTAGCAAGAACTCATTTAAAATTAAGTCCTTCCTGAAATTTTCTCTTATACATTTAAAGATATATTTTTTTCATTAATGTTAATGTAAAAATTTTTAATTTTGCTCCAAAAGAATCTTAGAAAACTTACCTAACCTTATTATAACAAGAACAATTTATTTTAGCCTAACCCAACTAAATATGTTTTAGATTTGTTTACAATAATTTAATACTAAACAAACACAGTGAAATATATTTTTTTCGTTCGGTTCAGAATGATTTTGGCGAAATTATTGCATACACAAATTTTCGCTTGTCCTATATGGCAAGATGAGCGCTGCTATTTAAGCCAAGATCGCAAGTTCTGCCTATTCGGCAGAATAGGTAGAACATATATATATATGTCGACATATATATATGTCGTGCCGAATAGGCAGAACTTGCGATCTTGGCTTAAATAGCAACGCTCATCTTGCCATATAGATCAAGCGAAAATTTGTATATGCAATAATTTCGCCAAAATCATTCTGAACCTAACGAAAAAAATATATTTCACTGTGTTTGTTTAGTATTAAATTATTGTAAACAAATCTAAAACATATTTAGTTGGGTTAGGCTAAAATAAATTGTTCTTGTTATAATAAGGTTAGGTAAGTTTTCTAAGATTCTTTTGGAGCAAAATTAAAAACTTTTACATTAACATTATTGAAAAAAAATATATCTTTAAACGTATAAGAGAAAATTTTAGAAAGAACTAATTTTAAATGAGTTCTTGCTAATTGACCAGCTTTACATATTCGGCACGACATATATATAAATTTTATATATATATATATATATATATATATATATATATATATATATATATATATATATATTATATATATATATTATATATATATTATATGTGTGTGTGTGTGTGTGTGTGTGTGTGTGTGTGTGTGTGTGTGTGTGTGTGTGTGTGTGTGTGTGTGTGTGTGTGTGGAAAAACAACCACTGAGGAGGAGTTGAATGATAGCTATTATTCAACCCCTCCATGGTTGTTTTCCATTTTGTATTGCTTGCTCGCGATTTTTGCATAATATATATCATGGTTGATCAGGTCCTGATCCAACACGAGGCCTGGTCATGGACAGGCGCGGGGGCACTGGCCCCCGAAACCCCCTCCAGATATATATATATATATATATATATATATATATATATATATATATATATATATATATTTTATATATATATAATATATATATATATATACACACGTATAAGTATAGCTACATGTATGGCCGTAAAACTGATGACACAGGTGGTCATTAAATGGAGGCTCTTATAACACTTATATACTTCCTGTTATTGAGTTTGTCGTAATAATTTCTTGTCTTATTCTCCTCACTCATAACTTTCCTCATTCCTTAGTTTGCTTATACAATAACGTGAAGATATCTCATTGGTAATAGTAAGATATCAACCAGAATGCTTGATATATCCTAATTCTACTTATAACAGATGGCAGTGTTCTCAGGGGAGGGTCCTTGAGAGGACTGAGGGGCTCTTGATCCAAATAATTGGACCTGTTTTCTCCTTCAATTTAATCTGCTTGCTTCCCATTGCGCAGGCGCTGTATGACCCCTATGGGTTTGGCGCTTACCCTAAATGTAATAACGGTAACAGTCTTAGGTGATAATTTGTAAATAATATATACATGTATATCCCAGATATTTTCTGCCTATTTCCCTTGGTATCTCGATATGTTCTGGAGCTGTCTTCCACATGATGGATATACAGTAGTGTGCAGATTAATTGGGACAGAAGTAAATTTTGTGATTATCTCATAATATGTTTTAGCCTCCGGCTTAATTAATGTATTTTGGATTCTTTTCTTTTCATAAAAGTTTGCTACTGACTTCTGGCAACCATCCAGCTGTGGTGTTACCCTGCAACTCTCGTCAGTGCTACAACAGCTGTTGTAGCAAGCTTGCTCCGTGAGTGAATGTAGTTTCGCCAAAGTCTCCCCATCAGCTGATGATTATTGCTGAAATTCATGATGGATGTTACACCTAGGAAGCATGCAAGTATTGTAGCTCTTAGAAAACATGGTGATTTGAGTGTCACACAGATCGTCGAAAATGTGAGACTAGCAAAGTCACCTGCTGGCCGGATTCTGAAAACAGCTGGCGACACTGGTGACTGTGAAGAGCTACGTCGAGGAAGATGACAAGGTTATCACAAGAAATAGTGTGAAGGATCCCAAGAAAACCAGCAACGATCTAAAGAGAGATTTGGCTTCAGTAGGTGTAAATATTGATTCTTCAGTTGTTCGACGAAGGCTCCTTGAAGCAGGCAAAACTGCCAGAAAGACGGTAACGAAACAACTATTGACTGCTGCTATGAAGAAAAAACTACTGAGGTGGGCACTCGATCATAAGGGATGGACGATAGATGAATGGAGAAGAGTTATATTTTCAGCTGTGAAACATTTCAGTGTTAGTGAGACGAAGCAAAGGCGAACCTCTTCGGAATGGACACATTCAACAAAATCCAAAACACCCACCTAGAATGTTTTGAGGTAGTTTTATTGCTAAAGGTCCTGGACGGCCTGTTAATGTTGAGGGAACGATGAACAGTGACAAATACAATCCTGGCAACTCATTTGCTTCCCACTGTGATGGAGAAGCAAATGAGAAAGCATCTTCCAGCAGGATCTTGCTCCATGCCACACTTCCAGAAAAATGGTGACATTCGTCTAAGAGAGTAGGCTAAGCGTTCTAAACTGGATTGGAAACTCTACTGACCCCAACCCAACTAAGAATCTATCGACAATAACCAAACGCAGGATCGCGAAACGAGATTGTTCAACTGTGGAGAAGCTAATTGCTACTGTTATTAGGACCTGGTACTACGACGAAGAACTTGCCAAATTATGTTCAACACTGGTCGCTTCTATGCCAAGGTGTGTAGCAATGCTTGTAAAAGTAAAGGGTAGTCATGTCTCTTATTAAATCACTTGTCTGTCACATCAGTGCCGTGTATTTTTCAAGCAAATATTAATTTTCCAAATAAATGTCTTATTTCACCACTGTCCCAGTTAATAAGTACATTTCTGTAGGGTGCACAATAAGCTAGCTGCTACCATAAACAGGATGGATATAGGGTGCACAATAAACTAGCTGCTACCATAAACAGGATGGATATAGGGTGCACAATAAACTAGCTGCTACCATAAACAGGATGGATATAGGGTGCACAATAAACTAGCTGCTACCATAAACAGGATGGATATAGGGTGCACAATAAACTAGCTGCTAACGTAAACAGGATGGATATAGGGTGCACAATAAACTAGCTGCTACCATAAACAGGATGGATATAGGGTGCACAATAAACTAGCTGCTAACGTAAACAGGATGGATATATGGTGCACAATAAACTAGCTGCTACCATAAACAGGATGGATATAGGGTGCACAATAAACTAGCTGCTAACGTAAACAGGATGGATATAGGGTGCACAATAAACTAGCTGCTAACGTAAACAGGGTGGATATAGGGTGCACAATAAACTAGCTGCTAACGTAAACAGGATGGATATAGGGTGCACAATAAACTAGCTGCTAACGTAAACAGGATGGATATAGGGTCTACAATATGCTAACTGCTTCGGTGGAAAAAATGAATGTCTCTTGCTATTAGTGTCTAGCTGTCTCAGTGACTTCATAAAGGGATCTGTACACTTTTGACTTAAATCGGAAAATGAAGTGAAATTTCATCAAATATTCTGTACTAACTTATGGCCAGCTCAGAGTGAAACGAACCAAAATGCTGAAACTGTCAAACAGAGATTTTATGCACAGCAGAAGTGAAAAGAGATTATCGACCCCGAGTGTAGAAGAGGCTTGTCTCCTATATAAGAGAGTATGGGATCTTCCTCCCTGTATCCACCCAGTTTACTCTACAATGAGCTTGTCTGAACACACCTTGGATTAGCTGTTCAATGTGGTCTTCAGATTTCGTTACGATAAGAACTAACTGAAGAGCATGCACAGAAGGGAGGATAAAGTTGGTACATAAATGAAAAAAAAAATCCCTGTGGAGAAAGACTCGGTTCAATAAACCTGCATTAATATGCAACACCTGCGTATCTTTAGTGTTATCTTTATTAGTCTAATACAGAGATGTAATAACTAAGCCTTTTATAGTCGAGTTAGTTGAGCCATGCAGCAGTAGTAGACGTGCTCGCACGTGGACGGGACCTACTAGCAGAAATTCGTAAACCCCATAGGGTGGGTTTACGTATTTCTTACGTATTACGTGTTAGTAGGAAGTCGTGAGCCAGAGATTTAACAATTGTACTGTCAGAGGCCTTATGGAAGCTTTGAAATAGAATTAAAACAAGCTTATATTCAACTTAAATTAATATTAATCACGAAAAACTTCCACAAAATGCAGATGAAAAAATCCTGTAACTATGATGATGCCGCCGCCGCCGCCGCCGCCACCAATAATAATAATAATAATCGAAATATTAACAGAAAATGCAGGTGAACACGCATAATTGAGAAGCAAATTGGCCATTTATATCCTTTTTCATGGTCAAGAGTCATTAGGCAGAGATGGGAAAAATGTGTAATGGTCGCTCAAAGTTTGAGACTTTTCTGTTGTGTGGCTGTCGACAGCCTGAGAGGTGGCGAGCCTTGTTCCGAGCACAGCCGAGCGGCAAGCCAAGCACAGTCGCGCATCAGGGTGAGAATAGCCGAATGTAAAGATGAGTTCAGTCGAGAACAGCCAAGGACTTATATGATGTGCGGATATCAGTTTCTTTACCCACATATATGTTAAAAAACATAAGAACGGAGGAGCTCTGCAGTAGGCATACCGGTCCATCTTAAGCAAGTTCAGCAACACCCACTCATGTGCCTAACATATTTTTAAAGCTACCCAAAGTTCACGCGGTAATGACGCTATTATAAGTCTATTCCATCCATAGCTCTTTTGCCAAGTTTCCTTCCAAGTTTCAATTTGTCCAACTTGAACCCACTGCTGTGAGTCCTGTCTCTTTAATACTTTCAGAACGCTATTTATATTAACTTTTTTTTCATTTGTACAGTTTAATCATATCCCCCATTTCTACACCTCCCCAGTGCATTCAGTCTAGCCTCGTAGGAAACGTTTCTGATACCTGGAATCATTTCGTCTTCCTTTTCTGTATGTTATCAGCGCACTTATGTCCATTCTTTAGCATGGAGACCAGAACTGAGCAGCATCTCCAGGTAAAGAAGATCCGAATAACTTCAGAATGAAGAGTAAGGAAAGAAAAGTGTACGTGTGTGTGTGTGTGTGTGTGTGTATGTGTGTGTGTGTGCGAGAGAGAGAGAGAGAGAGAGAGAGAGAGAGAGAGAGAGAGAGAGAGAGAGAGCAAGTGGGAACGCAACATTAAACCCTCCTCTGGGCTGCTTTCACCTTTGCACTCACCTGAGTAACCAAACAGGTTAATATAATACCGTTGAAGGAGAGAGAAGAAAAATAACATTTTCTTGCCTGCAGAAGGACACAAAAAAGCACAGGTTATGACGTGACTGACACAGGTTAACATGGGTCGCGGTCACATCTACATATAACCAACACTTTATGTGCCCTAACCCGGCAGTTTTGTGCCCTACTAAGTGTAAAAGGTACCCTGGCGTGCCCCTCTACCTGCTCTGTCGTAAACTACCATTCCTGTTAGTACCTTTGATGTTGTGGTAGCCGACGATGTCTGATAATGGTGTTTAAAGGTCACGGCTAAGAGACAGCCACTAATGTAGGTAGCTTCATTCCTGTACACTATGTTGAGCACATGCAAATTGTCTGTTGGTTGTGTCCTTCTGTATACGGTCAAGGGTTAATAACAAAGACAGAAAGTAAAGGGATGAGCACCGTAGATAACGAAACACATAACCAGTGAAAAATTCCCAATATGTTTTCGTGTTTTCTGTTGATTTCTCTCTCTCTCCCTCTCTCTCTCTCTGTCTCTCTCACGGTATTGTGCTTTTTTTGTTATTTTTTTTTTTTTATTTTTGTTATATATGTCATAATTCTACAGCTTTTAGCAAAGGCACTTACGAACTCAGAGCAGCAGCAGCAGCAGCAGCAGCAGCAGCAGCAGCAGCAGCAATAGCAGCAGCAGCAGCAGCAGCAGCAGCAGCAATAGCAGCAGCAGCAGCAGCAGCAGTAGCAGTAGTAGTAGTAGCAGCAGCAGCAGCAGCAGCAGCAGCAGCAGCAGAAACAGTAGCAGCAGCAGCAGCAGCAGCAGCAGCAGCAGCAGCAGTAGTAGCAGCAGCATCAGCAGCAGTAGCAGCAGCAGCAGCAGCAGCAGCAGCAGCAGCAGCAGTAGTAGTAGCAGCAGCATCACCAGTAGCAGCAGCAGCAGCAGCAGCAGTAACAGCAGCAGCAGCAGCAGCAGCAGCAGCAGCAGCAGCAGTAGTAGCAGCAGCAGCAGCAGTAGTAGCAGCAGCAGCATCAGCAGTAGCAGCAGCAGCAGCAGCACCAGCAGCAGCAGCAGCAGTAGCAGCAGCATCAGCAGTAGCAGCAGCAGCACCAGCAGCAGAAGAAGCAGCAGCAGCAGCACCAGCAGCAGCAGCAGCAGCAGCAGAAGAAGAAGCAGCAGCAGCAGCAGCAGCAGCACCAGCAGCAGAAGAAGCAGCAGCAGCAGCACCAGCAGCAGCACCAGCTCCTGTTGTTGTCGTGTAATAACAAGAATTGACAGGAAAAAAATTGATAAATTACAAATATCGACATTTTACCTTCGGAAGTTTCAGCACTGGACAGCTCTGAAATGTAAACTGTTGTTTTTCCACACTGTGTTATCATTGCGATGAAGCCTACGGATGATTGGCTACAGCTATCCTGTATCCATGACAACAGCGACTCTATGTGTGTGTGTGTGTGTGTGTACTCACCTATTTGTGGTTGCAGGGGTCGAGTCATAGCTCCTGGCCCCGCCTCTTCACTGATTGCTACTAGGTCCTCTCTCTCCCTGCTCCATGAGCTTTATCATACCTCGCCTTAAAACTATGTATGGTTCCCGCCTCCACTACTTCACTTTCTAGGCTATTCCACGGCCTGACTACTCTATGACTGAAGAAATACTTCCTAACATCCCTTTGATTCATCTGAGTCTTCAACTTCTAATTGTGACCTCTTGTGTCTGTGTCCCATCTCTGGAACATCCTGTCTTTGTCCACCTTGTCTATTCCGCGCAGTATTTTGTATGTCGTTATCATGTCTCCCCTGACCCTCCTGGCCTCCAGTGTCGTCAGGCCAATTTCCCTCAACCTTTCTTCGTAGGACAATCCCCGTAACTCTGGGACTAGTCTTGTTGCAAACCTTTGCACTTTCTCTAATTTCTTGACGTGCTTGACTAGGTGTGGATTCCAAACTGGTGCTGCATACTCCAGTATGGGCCTGACGTAAATGGTATACAGAGTCTTGAACGAATCCTTACTGAGGTATCGGAACGCTATCCGTAGGTTTGCCAGGCGCCCGTATGCTGCAGCAGTTATCTGATTGATGTGCGCCTCAGGAGATATGCTCGGTGTTATACTCACCCCCAGATCTTTTTCCTTGAGTGAGGTTAGCAGACTTTGGCCATCTAAACTATATTGTGTCTGCGGTCTTCTTTGCCCTTCCCCAATCTTCATGACTTTGCATTTGGCGGGGTTAAACTAAAGGAGCCAGTTGCACGACCAGGCTTGTAGCCTGTCGAGGTCTCTTTGTAGTCCTGCCTGATCCTCATCCGATTTGATTCTTCTCATTAACTTAACATCGTCCGCAAACAAGGACACTTCTGAGTCTATCCCTTCCGTTATGTCATTCACATATACCAAGAACAGCACAGGTCCAAGGACTGACCCCTGTGGAACCCCGCTTGTCACAGACGCCCACTTTGACACCTCATCACGTACCATGACTCGTT